CATGCATACATACATACACACATACATACAGATACGTATACCTATACATAAATACATACGTGCGTACGCACATACATACATACATACGTGCGTGCGTACATATATGCATACATACATGCGTGCATGCATACATACCTACATGCATGTATGCAAACATGCATACATGCATGCATGCATGTATGCATACATGCATACATGCACAAATGCATGCATGCAGACATACATGCTTACATATATACACATACAGTTACTATGCAAACATATACATACACTATGCATACGTGCATGCATATATGCATGCATACAGGTATACATACATACATGCATGCATGCGTACATACATGCATGCATGCATATGCACATGCAAACATACATACATACATAAATACATACATACCTACATACGTGCATACATACATACATACATACATACATACATGCATACATACATACATACATACATACATACAACCATACATTCACACACCCATACATACATACATACACACATACCTGCATACATACATGCATGAATGCATGCATACAAGCATACATACACACACATACACTCGTGCATGCATGCATACATACATACACGAGTGCATGCATACATACATCCATACAGATGCACATGCATGCATGCATGCATACCTAGATGCATGATACGATGCATGCATACATACGCGTATACATGCATACATGCATTATGCAAACATGAATGTATACATGCGTCTGTACCCGTCTACAGACCTACCTACCTACCTGCCGACCTACCTACATGCACATATATATATATATATACATATACCCAACATAAATGCATGCATACATACACACGCACCTGTAAGCATACCACCAAACATACAAACAAACGAACCAACAAATAAACACACATACCAGCACATGAATGCATGCATACATACGTATGCAGATGTGTAAAGAAAACTCAGTATGTATATGTATATGCAAACGAACATACATACAGACATGCATACCTAAATATATACATGCATACATATGTATGTGTGTTGGTGTGTACGTGTAAGTATGATGAAAACATACATGTAGATGTATGTATGTATGTATACGAAGTATCCCCACGTCACGCTCTGCTGCTCACCGAGGACCGGAAGTCATCCTTCGCTGCTTGTAGCTGGGCGCGCACGGCAGCGCCATTCCTGGACGAGAGCGGCACAGCCAACCCTCGCATACATTCAAGCATTAGCGTACGGGTGCAACCCTGCGAGAAGCCCACAAGGATGTGAAGGATGAGGGGCAAGGATAGGGGCGGACTGGCATAGAGGGGAAGCATCGACAAGGAGTCGGCGATTCAGCGCCGATGGATCGGCGATAGGCCCCTGGTGGCGAATCCGCACGTTCCTGGGCGGGGTGGGGCTATCTGGCCCCTATCGGCGATCAATGGGACGACTGGGGGTCGATTCATCCCCCCCTATGCTGCCCATTCCCCCCGATCGTGGCCCCCGAGAGGAGGGCACAGAGGAGGGCACAGAGGAGGGAGGGGGGCGGGAAGGGGGGGGGGGGCGGTGCGCCCAACCACCCGGGGCCGCCGCCTTGACCCCCGCGGCCTCCCACGACAGCGGCTGCAGGAGCGCCGCCTGCCACAAGGGGGGGTGGGGGGGATGAGGACGGAGGGATCGCAACAAAAGACGTGGAAGAGGGCAATGGCCGCTCTCTCTCTCTCTCTCTCTCTCTCTCTCTCTCACTCCTCCCCCCCGCCTTGGCACCCGCTGCCTCCTACTTCCTCCTGCGTCCTCTCCGTTCGGACTTCGCTCCACTGCCTCAGGGCGCTCTGTCCCCCTCCTGCTTCCTCCTACTCCCCCCTGCTTCCTCCTGCTTCCTCCTGCTTCCTCCTACTTCCTCCTCGCTCCTCCCACTTCCTCATCGCTCCTCCCACTTCCTCGTGCTTCCTCCTCGCTCTTGCTCGCCGACCCCCCGCGGCGGCGCGCACCCCACGGGGAGCGGCGCGCTGCCTTCTTGGAAGGGGGCGGCGGCCTCTGGGAAGGCCTCCGAGAGGCCCGGGAGGGCCTCTGAGCAGAACCCGCAGCTCGTGCGCGCCCTCTCCTCCTCCTCCTCCTCCTCCTCCTCTCCTCCTCCTCCTCCTCACTCCTCCTCCTCCTCCTCCTCCACCTCCTCCCTTCCTCTCCCCGACTCATCCTCCTCCTCCTCCTCCTCCTCCTCCTCCTCCTCCTCCTCCTCCTCCTCCTCCTCCTCCTCCTCCTCCTCCTCCTCCTCCTCCTCCTCCAGAGTCCAGCAAGGCATGAGGGTGCAAGCCCGACTTGTCTGGCTGATGCTATGGGGGGGCCTGTGCTCAGGGGAGGCTGCAGCACCGCTCAACGATGTGCTGTTTAACCGAACCTGCAGGGTGGGCCCTTTCCCAAATCCGTGCTTCAGTGCGGATCGTAAGCGCGCCTCGTCTCCGTCGTCGTCGTCGTCGGCGTCGTCGTGGTCGTGGTGCGTGTTGCTCTGCTCGGGATTATGTTTCCCGTACGCAGTGACCACCACCACCTCCTCCTCCAGAGATGACGGTGGCCTCTAGCGTCGCATCCCTCATCTCCCTGAGCAGCGCCAAAGCTGGCTGCCACTGCCCGCCCTTCTCGCACGCGCTGATCCCAGCGTTGTAGCTGGTGACGTCGGGCTGCACTTCCGCCTGCAACATCTCGCAAAGCAGCGCCAGCGCCCGCTGCCACTGCCCACTTTTCTCGCACGCGCTGATCCCAGCGCAGTAGCTGATGACGTTGGGCTCCAGATTCACCTCCCACATCTCGCTCAGCAGCGCCAAGGCCCACTGCAGCTGCTCGCCCTTCTCGCATGCGCTGATCCCAGCGCTGAGGCTGATGACGGTGGGCTCCAGTTTCTCCTCCGGCATCTTCCAGAGCAGCGCCAGTGCCCTCTGCTACTGCCCGCCCTTCTCGCACGAGCTGATCCCAACATTGTAGCTGATGACGTCGGCAACCAGCTTCGCCTCCCACATCTCGCTAAGCACTGACAACGCGTGTTGCCACTGCCCGCCTTTTCTGCATGCACTGGCAGTCGCAGTGTAGTGGCTTGGGACGAGTTGCACACCTAATCGAATCCCTTCGCGGAGCAACCGCAGTACTGCGTTCCATTGTTTTGTCTGACCGCAGTTCTTGATCGACGCGGCGAGGGAATCAGCGCCTTCTCGAGACCCTCGACCGATGTCCAGCATCCGAAAAGACACCTCTCCGCGCCTTGAGCATCCTTGAGCGTCCTTGAGCATCCTTGACAATCTCCTCCTCCTCCTCCTCCTCCTCCCCCCTCCTCCTCATCCTCCGCTTCCTCCTCCTCCTCATTGCCACCATCATCACAAGCATCTGCGGCCACCTTGTTGCTCTCAGCATGGGCGCTCTCTCGCCCACGTCGCACATATGCGCGACAGGAACGCAGCGGGGCGCACAACCGCGCGAGAGGGCGAAATGTCGCTCTCGCCTTGGCGCCACGCTCACTACTCTGGAGAAATGAACTCCCGCTTGGGCGCGGCGCACATACTCCGCACGCCAGATCAAATCGCCAACGCGCGAGGGAACGGAAGTGTCGCTCTCGCCTCGGCGCCGCATAGATTTCGCATGAGAGTGGCGCTCCCGCCTTGGCGCGGCACATTTCTCTGATTCGCCAAGTTTGGGGGCTACGCGAGCGGGCGACGTGCCCTTCCTCGCCCAAGCTCCGTGCACGTGTCGCTTGAAAGTGGCGATCCTGCGCGGGCGCGGCGCACGTTTCGTTCGCCGAATCGCGTGAAGCGGCAGCGACAGCGGGCCGCGCGAGAGTGGGCAACATGCGATCATCGCCCCAAGCGCCGTGCAATGTGTGCATGAATGCGCTTCTGTCCAGCGTTGTGGGCCACGTCGGCAGTTGCAGAAAGGCAGGGGGCAGATGCGATTCGCCGCAGGCGTCTTCGACGGTAAAGTCCGCTCTCCGCCAGCGGGGACGCCTGTCCCAGGCCAGCTGGAAAGCTCACACCCCCACGGCGCCAGGTGGGGGTCCAAACTTCCCGGCTGCCCTTGGGCAGGCGCCGACGGTGGCCGAACAAGGTTGTGCAAAGCCGCTCCTCGCCCGCTGTGAAAGCGCCACGCCCTCCGCCAGCAAGCCGCCCGCGCGCCCCGCCCGCCCCGCCCACCCCAGACCCCCGACGTCGTGATTCTTCCACAACGTCGACCCCCAGAGGTCTGGACCCCTTCCCCGGGACTGGCTTTTCGTCCTGAGTCGGCCTTTGACGCTCCCGAGGCCCGGGAAGGGCCCCCAGAGGCGGAGAATAGCGAAAAACTTCCCGTCGCGATTCTCTTCGCAACGCGAGGGGGTCTGGGACTGCAGCCTCCCACGGCACGCCCCGTCTGCCCGCACCACTGTGCCCGTCGTGCCCGGCGCGGCCCTGCAGCTCCGCCCGCTCCTGCCCCCGGGCCGCTTCCGGCCGCGCGGCAAAAGGCACCGCACCTCCCCGCGGCCACAGCCAAGGGAGCTAGCGCTGGCGGCCGCTACACTTAGGTCAGGCATGTCCTCCTACAAGGAGGATTTCGGCAGAAAAACAGAAATACATATATATATATATATATATAACAAACAAACAAACAAACAAACAAACAAACAAACAAACAAACAAACAAACAAACAAACAAACAAACAAACAAACAAACAAACAAACAAACAAACAAACAACAACAAAAAACGAAACAATCTTTGGACCATTTTGGAATATTCCTCCTGAAGAGGGACATGTCCAATTTAACGGTACACCCCTGCTCAGAATTAGGAGAGATCTGACTTAAGAATGCGAACTTCGCTCCAAGCGCTTTATTGAACAATAGCCCAGGCCCAGACATACGAAGATGTAAAAGCCCAGCGCCAGGAGCTCCAAGAGAAAACGCCCAGGAACCAGTCCAGGTTCGTTGATTCTCTGAAGCGAAATCTGGAGACCACGAACTTTGCTCTTTTTTCTTCACGCTTCTGATGGCTGCACCCAGGCTCACGTGGCCCAGATCGACAAGTGGCTCCCGCCGGTCCCGGCCAGCGCGTACACGCCCGCCCCGATCAGGCCGGAGCCCTCCGGCGCCAGGGGCAGCACGGAGACCTCGGGGCCGGCGGCCTGATGCCCCGCCAGCGCGCGCAGGCCACGGCCGCAGGGCTCCACGAGCACGTCCCCGAGCGTGGCCCAGTTCTGCGCCGCGATGCCGCCGGCGAAGCAGACGGAGCGGACGGGCCCAGACACCCAACAGATCGGGGGGATCGAGGCGGCCGGCCTTTCACCATCACCCGTGGGCTTCTGGAGGCGGGTCTCGTGGGCCCGACGGGACCGCCAGCGAACAAGGATCGGCCGACCCCGGGGAAGGGGCCGAGGGGCCCGGGAGGGGCCCATGCGCTTCGAGAGAAGCGAGCCGCCGGGTGCCTGGGAATGGGGTGGCGCCGCGGGTCGCCGTTGAACTGCGGGGCCACCTGTGTGTGAAGGAAGTGCAGCCACTGCTCCCCGTAAGCGCGCACCGCAGGCTCTCGGCCCGCCGCGTCGCACGCGGCGCCCCCGCCTGGCGGGGGCGCCGGACAGCCGTGCGCGGCCTCTGCCAGCTCGATGCCGCGTCTGCCAAGCACGAGGCTCACCCACGGCATCCGGAACGGGTGATCCACGATGTTGGCAAATGGCTGCGCCATCACCGCCTCCGCGGCATCTCTGCAAGCTCCAGGGCGCTCCAGCCACCGTCGCCACGTGCCAGGGTATCTGGCGCCAGACAGCGGCACTCCGTTCAGCGACGTCTGCTTGGCGCCGAAGCGAGAGGAGGGGTCGACCACCGAGCCGCTGCCCGAGCTGAGGCCGAAGCCGACCCCTGTTCCGAGCGCGAAGCAGCCCAGCGACGGCGGCGGCAGCACCTGCCTGCTGCACCCCAGCAGGTGAGCCTCGCCGTCGTGCAGCACGAACGTGCGGTCCGCCGGAAGGCCCATGAGGGCGGCGACGGACGGGCTCGGGCGGGCGGAGCCCCACTGCCGCGGGTGCCCGCCGCCGGGCCACCAATTCCTCAGCGTCCCGGCCGCGTGGTCCACGTCACCGCCCACGGACACCCCGAAGCACACGCCCGGGTCGCCCAGCTCCCGGCCGAGGCTGGGCAGCGCCCCCAGCAGCCAGGCGGAGAAGCCCCGCTCGCTGGGCGCCTCGCCCAGCTGCGCCGGAGGCTCCGCCCAGCGGAGCTCCCGGGGCGCCAGCGCGGCGGCGCCGCGCGAGGCTGCGTGCGCGCTGGGCGGCGGCAGCGGGCCGGACGGGTCCTCCCCCTCGCCCAGGAGCTCGCGCAGGGCGGTCGCCGAGAGGGTCGGGCGGCGTCGACCCCAGGCCTCCAACGTCTCGAGGAGCTCAAGACGGAGACCTTCTTCGCCCTGTTTGGCCTCGGGGGGCCCTCGGCGGGCCACGGGGCTGTCCAGGAGCGACTCGGGGTGAGGAGCTGGCCCAGGAAAGAGTGAAGGGGCCCTGGGACACACAAACAAATACACACAAAAAGAATGATTCCCCATGTTTTTCCATATTTTCTGGGCTCTTGTCTTCGCCCCCACTTCCCACATTTTCCCATATTTCCTGGGGATCGACGATTAATTGTGTCTGTGTTTTTTCCCCTCCTGCAAAAGAAGAGGTCCAGAGGAAGACACTTCCGGGCCTCCCGGCCGGGGCCGTCCCGCCTTGAGAAGCCCCAAGACAATATAATAGGAGTCTGGGGCTTGCCCAACCTCCCACCCGTTGCTGCCACGGTCCCCATCCTCTGGCTGCAACGCAAGGAGTGAACCCGCATAGGCAAGAGAGCACCATATGGTGCGCGGACGTTCGAACGAAAGGGCGCAAGGTGGCCCTGGTGGCCGAATCCACAAGCGGTTTCCCGAACGCCAAGCGCGCAGGATAGGGTCAGCTGCTTATCTGCAATCGCGTCAGCTCTATCGCATAAATCGCGCTCACCATCACTCAGCGACGCGGGGGGACCGGGACCAAGCCTGGCAAGAGATTCCGATGTCGTGATTTTGTTCAAATTTTCATCCTCGGTTTCCCCCGGAAAGCCTCAGGACCCTTCCCCAGGGGCCAGGACTGGCTTTTCTTTCATCCTGAGTCGTTGTGTTGACGGGTCCTTGGGCCCAGCGAGGGCCGCAAGAGAATAAGAAACTAAGGGCAAGCGCGCAGCCGGCCGAAACTACCACTGCCGTCCTCCTCAGAACAAAACCATCCGGCCATTTTTGGTTGTCGATAGCGTAGGACCCTCTGGGGAGGCGAATCAGGCCCAGGAAAGCGCGAAAGAAAAGAGCCACAAGTCCCGGCGCATGTGGGTCAGCATCGTAAAACCCATCCCCATCCCTCCCACTGATAAGTGCAGTCCGAACTTCCAGGAAATCCAGGGACCCCCCAGGAGGGGACAAAAGGGGGGGGGTGAAGCCATACACGTGACGGTCCACGTTGCGAGGAAGGGCCCTCCCCCGGCTCGGCCCAGGAGGGCGCGCCCACCGATCCAGCCCAGACCCCGACGTCGTGATTTTAAGGGGAACAAAGAGTACATGGACAGAAAAACTCGGAGGCCGCCGCGGATTCTCGATCGGCGCTGGACCCCCTCCCTGGTGGCGCGCGGAGCGCGCCAGGGGCGGCGCCGGAGGCGCCGCCAGGGGGGCCCAGCGCCGATCCGAGAAATCCGCGCGGACCTTCGAGTTATTATGTTTATGTCACTTTTTGTTCCCCAAATTTTCTGCACCACGTCGACGCCCAGAGTTATGATGTTCCAACCTACTTTAGCCTCGATCACCAGACATCATTTCGAGCACCAAGAAAATACCGAAACTGGACGACCTTCACGTGTCGAGCCCTGGGAGGCGGTACTCGTTCGACACTGTTTCGGTACTTCTCGGGGTGCTCGCAATTCTTTCTGGGGATGAGGTCCTCAAGTGCGATGGGAGCAGCATGAACCCAGAGGTCTGGACTCTTTCCCCAGGACCAGATTATCGTCCTGACCGGGCCGTTTCTCGACGGTCCTGGGGCCCAGGAAGGGCCCCCGGAGGCCGAAGATTGCGAAACATGTTTGATTCGCGGGTCGAGAGCGCATCTCTTCCGGTCGAAGCTAAGCGGGCCGCGCGAAGCTTGAATGAACCAGAGATGGGGGAGGAGAAGGGGGGCGCAGCCTCAGAACGGAAGATAGCGAAACATCTCCCGTCGCGATGTTCTCTCCCGGGGCCAAGGGAAGGGCCCCCTGGAGGCCGAAGGGAGCGAGGAGCCATCCCGTCGCGATGTCTTCGCACGGCGCGCGGGGGTCCGGGCTCCTGGGCCCAGCAGGGGCTGGGCCAGGACTGGTGTGAGGTCGGGCGTGTCCCCCTGCAGGCCGATGTTCGACGAAACATTTTAAAACTACTCCAAAAAATATGCAGCAAGGTTCCAAAGATACTAAAGAACAAATCGTCCCCAGGCTGTGTTCTTTCCTATGTTTGAATGTTCCTCCTGTAGAGGGACAGACAGGCCCGACTTGAGACTGGTGAGGTGGGCAGCAGGCGCCGCCCGAGCAGAGCGCTGTCTTCACCCCGCCGCCGCCCACGTCGAAGGCACGCACGGAGCGCCCGGCGTCCGCCAGCTGCCGCCGCACGGCCGCCGCGAAGGCGGCCGGCCCGTCCTCGCCCGCCTCGGGTGCTGATGCATGGCCGGATGTTGCTAGAAGTGCCGCTGGGCCAGGGTGCCCCCAGGAGGAGGAGGAGGAGGAGAAGGAGGAGGAGAAGGAGGAGGACGAGGAGGAGGAGGAGGAGGAGGAGGAGAGGAGAGAGGAGGAGGAGAGAGGGAGGAGGAAGGGATGAAGAGGAGGAGGAAGGAGGATGAGGCAAGGAGGAGAGAGGTAACGGGAAGGAGGAGGAGCGAGGGGCGGGAGGAAGGATGCTACTGAGGCGGCTGCGGAGGCGGAACCGGAGGATGATGTTTTCGAGCTGCGGCGGGTGCGGCGGCGGCGGGCGCGGACGCCGACTGGCCGGCGGCGCGCGGGCGCGGCCGGCGGCTGCTGCGGGCGGCGGGCGGCGGCGGAATCCCCAACGCCACCCGCGCCCCCCTCCCGCGGCCCCCAAAGGCCCCAGGGGCTCCAAAATGGAGGGAAAAGCTGGGGGCCCCTTGGGCCAGGGGTACTTCTAGCAGAACACCCGGTTTGGGGGGCGATGCATGGAGAGGGGAAGAAGGGGGCGGGGGGGGAGGGGGAAACGAGCACCTCTCGTGACCTTTTGGGGTCCCTGTCGGGCCCCTGGAGGGGGCAAAAGCCAGCACTCGCCCCACCATTGCGCGACGCCCGACCGCCGTCTGGCGGAGGGACGGCCAGTCGCCCATCGCGCGCGCGAGCGCCAGGCGCCGAGGTAGAAGCCCTGCGGACATCCCCCCCTGAACCAGGCTGGCCGCGGAGGCCCCAGCTCGGGCTCCTCCACGGGCTCGGTGGGCGGAGAGGCGGCGTCTGCTCTTGGGCGCGGGAGCGCGAGAGCTGTGGTACCTGCTTCGGCTGCCCCACGCAATAAAGCATCAAGGCATCTCCCGCCTGTTGACCAATCGGCACCGCGGTGCAAGGGAGGAGGGTCCTGCATTTTCTGTTCTTCCCTCCACCGAAGCAAATTGACACCACCACACGACTGCATGCTGCACGTAGGCCCCATCAGCGAGATGAGTAGATCAGCTATCCCACCCGTCAGCTCGAATCGCAAGTCGCGAGACTAACCCAGCACGAGGAGGAAGGATAAGAAGGAGGAGGAGGAGGACGACGAGGAGGAGGATGCAGTTACGTTCACCGTCGACATGACCTAGCCGTTCGGTTTTCCTTCCCCTGTCATCTCTGCACCTCTTGATTTTGTAACCCCTCCCACCGACTGGTGGGAGGGACTCGAGGGCATCGGCGCAACGACGCGAGCTTGTCCGCAGCTTCGAGGCTTCGAGCAGGAGGAGGAGGAGGAGGAAGAGGAGGAGGAGGAAAAGGAGAAGGAGGAGGAGGCGGGGGTGGAGGAGGATGAG